GGGTAGTGGAAGATGGAAGAAGATTATAAATATATCTTTGCGATTAGTTACAGGAATGAAGACTAGAGCAGCTATGCATATTTTCTTCCTTTCTTTGTGTATGCATTTGTATGATATGTATTATAAATTTGTTTATAGTAACAATTTTCTCTTTTCCTTCCCTTTTTTATTATTTTTTAAAATTTTATTTATTTATTTATGGCTACGTTGGGTCTTCATTGCTGCGTGCGGGCTTTCTGTAGTTGTGGCAAGCGGGGGCTACTCTTTTTTTTGTGTGTGTGTGGTACGCGGGCCTCTCACTGTTGTGGCCTCTCCCGTTGCGGAGCACAGGCTCCGGATGCGCAGGCTCAGCGGCCATGGCTCACAGGCCCAGCCGCTCCGCGGCATGTGGGATCTTCCCGGACCGGGGCACGAACCCGTGTCCCCTGCATTGGCAGGCGGACTCTCAACCACTGCGCCACCAGGGAAGCCCAAAGGGCTACTCTTCATTGAGGTGCGCGGGCTTCTCACTGCGGTGGCTTCTCTTGTTGTGGAGCACGGTCTCTAGGCGCACAGGCTTCAGTAGTTGTGGCACGTGTGCTCATTAGTTATGGCTTGTGGACTCTAGACCGCAGGCTCAGTAGTTGTGGTACTCGGGCTTAGTTGCTCTGCGGAATGTGGGACCTTCCCGGACCAGGGCTCGAACCCGTGTCCCCTGCATTGGCAGGCGGATTCTTAACCACTGTGCCACCAGGGAAGTCCCTCCTTTCCTTTAATATTCTACTCAAGTTTTGTTTGAGGCTAACTTTACAATTTAGTCACTAGAGGATAGAATATTCAGATGGCACTGTGACCAAATTTGAGGAATAATTTTATTAATTTATTTTAATTATTATTTTATTTTTAATTAAAACTCTTTGGGGAACTTTGAATTCATTATTTTTCCCATTCTTGGTCCAATTACATCTAGAAATGGCCCCTAGATTATAAGACGAGGAGACAGGCCCAGGCACCAGGGAGAGGAGAAGGAGGCAGCTGCCAGTGCTGGAGTCCTGGGGAAGGGGCCACTCCTTCTTCAGGCAGGAGTTAGGACAGTTACAGGTGCAGGATTGCCTCTGACGCTTCAGCTAGTTGGCTGCCTTCCTCACACCCTCCCTGAGGGCAGGGGATGGGTCACTGGGATCTCCCTGAAGCAGGATGTGCACCCCATCCCGGTAACCCTGCAGAGCTGCAGGGTAGGTGCTTGCCTTCTCCTCCCGCAGCCCTGGGTGATGAGCTCTGTAGCTTGGCTCAGAAAGGTGGTGGTGGGCCCTCCTTCCTTTTCTTCTCCCTGCCTTCCTGTTTCCCAGGGTCCCTGGTGCAGCCTTTAGGACTCTGCATCAATACCAACTCACTTATGCAGGTAGGACTGAGGCCTGAGACTTCTTCCTTGGAAAAGGGGTCCAAGAGGGCAAGTTCAGCCTTGGTGTGCGGGGCTCCGCAGGGGCACGGGACGCCTCCTTGGTGCTCCCACAGTTAAAGATGGCAGGTCTGAATGGTGAGGGCGTGGCGTGGGGGATGGTCCGTTGGCACCTCCAACACGTCGAGGCCCCTCCTCTCCACGCCCCTCCTTTCTGCGGGGGAGCCGCTGGTGCAACCAGGACACATCATGGCCCCAGGGCCGGGGCTCATCGAGGGGGCGGTATGGGGATCAGAGAGGCTGGCAGGATGTGCAGGTCCCTGGACACTTCGGAGGACCGTGTCACCTCCCCACCCCCGAAGAACTCCTTGAGTTGGGGGCTGTCGAGCGCGGAGATGTGCACCGTGAAGCGAACCAAATCCTCAGCCCCCTTTCGAGGCTTCTTGATCACCGAAGCTTTGAACCGCCAAACACCTGTGCGCGGGGAGGGGCGGGACCTGGGGGAAGCAGGGAACTCGTGGAGGAAGCGGAAGAGGTTGGGTGGAGGTTGTAGGCCGGGTCTCCAAGCAGCTTGTGGAAGTTGCTGAATCGCAGAGATGGATACAGCCAATGTTGGGACTTTGCATCTCATCATTTTCAGGTAAGGATGAGACTGTCTTCCTTTCTATGAAGTAGAGTGGTGTCTCGTTAGAAACAGAGTTGTGTTTCTTGTTGCGTGAGAGTTTAAATATGTATAGAAAGGGTGTGTATGGGGCTTCCCTGGTGGCGCAGTGGTTGAGAGTCCGCCTGCTGACGCAGGGAATGCAGGTTCGTGCCCTGGTCCGGGAAGAAACCACATGCCGCGGAGCGGCTGGGCCCGTGAGCCATGGCCGCTGGGCCTGCGCGTCCGGAGCCTGTGCTCCGCAACGGGAGAGGCCACAACAGGGAGAGGCCTGCGTACCGCAAAAAAAAAAAAAAAAAAGGACAAGAAAGGGTGTGTATGGATGCTGCGTAGCCCACGGGGTGTCTAGTTTGTGATGCTAAGGTTGCAACACTTCAAACCGTATTGATGTTTTGCCAGCTGTTCCCTGTTAGATTCCGCTAACAAGGGGCCCTAGAGAGAGACTGCGCTGAACGGGAAGAAGGGATTGCTCCTTTCTGTTTACTCCCTCAGAGCTGCTAAACTTTTTCCTGTTACAGTGAGTGTCGCCTTATGCTCACTTCTTCGGCTTGGCACTGGCAGTTTCTTTATGGAGCAGCAGCTGGATCCAGTTTGCAGTTTACCCAGCATTTGCAGAACTAGGCTCATTACGCCCCCTCTGAGACATGAGCGCCACCTGACGTGCCCCTGCTGCAGAGGGCAGAGTTTCAGCTCCACCCAGCCCCTCCCCAGCTTTTAAGCTTGGGTAGTTTCAGCCACCTGGCTCTTGTTCCCGCCAAACCTGAGTTTGCTACTTCCCTGCTATCTTTGTGTTCTGATTCCCTTTACTGTCACTGTTACCGAACCAAACTTGGGTCTGCTTGCCCACGTGCAGTAAAGCCAATCTACTGACACACCACACTGGATTGTGGTGAAGGAAAGTGCAGTGTTTATTGCAGGCCAAGCAAGGAGTCCAGGCACCTAGTGCTTAAAAGGCCCAAACTCCTTGAAGGCTTTCAGGGAAAGGTTTTTAAAGACAGGGTGAGTGAGGGGGTCATGGGATGTGTGATCAGCTCCTGGACATTCTTCTGATTGGCTGGTGGTGAGGTGAATTGGGAGTCACTGTCATCAGCCTTCTGTTCCAACAGGTCTGGGGTCTAAGTGCTCGTGGGCAGCACACAGTTAACTTCTTCCACCTGGTGGGGGTTTCAGTCTCTGCAAAACAGCTCAAAGGACATGGCTCAGAATATTATCTATAGCCCGTGAGGAGGAACTAAGGTCCTTGACTTTGTTTAATAGCTGAACTGTTATTGTCTTGCTTGACTGTTTTCCCTTATTTCTGCATTTTCTCACTTCTCTGATTAAAGTTACTCTTTGGAACTCGGGGAAGGCCTAGGAGGCTAAGGTTTTTCTACAGGCAGGAGGCAGGCAGAGGACGTGGGGGTTCTTTTATGGGAAGGCTCCATAGGGCCCTGTTCAGTTACAACACCAAGTTAACAGTTTTCTTTGTAATTGGAGTATAGTTGATTTACAATGTTGTATTAATTTCTGCTGTACAGCAAAGAGATTGTTATACATATATATAATTCTTTTATGTTCTTTTCCATTATGGCTTATCACAGGATACTGAATATAGTTCTCTGTGCTATACAGTAGGGCCTTGTTATCCATCCATTCCATATATAATAGCTTATTAGCTACTAACCCTAACCTCCCACTCCATCCCTCCCCCAACCCCCTCCCCCATGGCAACCACAAGTCTGTTCTCTATGCCTGAGTCTGTTTCACAGATAGGTTCATTTGTGTCATAATTTAGATTCTACATATAAGTGATATCATATGGTATTTGTCTTTCTCTTTATGACTTACTTCACTTAGTATGATAATCTCTAGTTGCATCCATGTTGCTGCAAATGGCATTATTTCATTTTTTTTTTTTAAGGCTGAGTAGTATTCCATTGTATATATGTACCACGTCTTCTCTATCCATTCATCTGTCGATGGACATTTAGGTTGTTTCCATGTCTTGGCTATTGTGAATAGTGCTGCTATGAACATTGGGGTGCATGTATCTTTTTGGATTATAGTTTTGTCTGGATATATGCCCAGGAGCGGGATTGCTGGATCATATCATAATTCTATCTTTAGTTTTCTGAGGAACCTTCATACTGTTTTGCATAGTGGCTATACCAACTTACATTCCCATCAACAGTGTAGGAGGGTTCCCTTTTCCACATCCTCTCTATATGCTTACCTTTTTAATGCTATTTTCTATGCCATTTTTTGACAGTACTATTCTAAATAGTGTCATAATTTAAGTGCTCTGCTATTGAATAGTCTCTAATATTTTGCTGTTAAGCCTTCAGAGAATATTCTTGTATATAAATCCTTGACTAGATCTCTGCTTATTGCTCTGGTATAAATTCCTGGATAGAAGATTACTAATTCAGTGAAATTTGAACCATTTAAAGGCTCTTCACACAGCTGTAGAATTTCTCTCCAGAGGTAGCTGACCCACTCTTGAATCTCTAATGAGTTTTAACTATAGAGCATTGACATAGAACTTTTATAAAACTGGACTGTCAGACATGCAAACATTTTAAGAAATAATGAATATGGTTCCTATTAAGAGGAGAGTATACAATTTGCCTCACATGGCAGATGTGCTTTAGAAACTTTGTAACATTAATTCTCACAATGACACTTTCCCCTGGTACTTTTATCCTTATCAATAAAATGGGGGGAAATGACCAAATATTTTGCTTACGGTCACATAACTCATAAAATGAGGACCCAGGAATCAAGCATTGGTTTTCTGATTTCACAGTTAATTTTTCTTTCCCCTATATCATTTCAACCCAAGAACTTGAATCAGTTTTTTGGAAGTGAATACTTGGGAGGAAAGAAGTATGGGTGAGTTGGAAGTAGTAGAGAGGAGGTGAGAAGCAATTAAAAAGCATATTGTCTCTGTTAAAACAATTTACAAACTGACAAAATACAGCGTTGGCAGGGCATTTTAACCAATGAGTATTTATTAAAAGCTAGGGGTGCACCAGGCACAATTCTTGTCCAGTAGGCCAACAAATACAAATGATGTAACCAATTCACTTATTAGCTTATCTGATTAAACAAAATACATTTCATAGAAATGATTATAAAATGCATCATAGATAAACAGAATATCTTTTATATTACAGATATTAGGGTACCTAAATAATTATGAATAAAAACCAGCCAACCCATATGGTAAATAGAAGTTAGCAAAACCACTAGTTAAATATTTTAGTCAGCAAGAGAAAAGCATGCTATCATCATGCTGAGATGGGTTTCAGCATTAATTACAGACATCCTATTTCAAAACACACACAGTCCACCTACAATCTTAAAAATGCAGTGTTTTTCATCCTGCATCAAATCACTATCATACTTTTTGGTTTAAAGATTAGTTTTGGTTTCGACATAAGTTAATTTAGTACTTTAGTCTCATGTCTCACAAATTCTTGACCTGGGATGGGTGAGAATCAGTTCTATTAGTTATTAGAGGAACAAAACATAAAATGAGATAGTTTAATCCACTTTGTCCAATACTCTTGCCAATACTCAACTCAGAAGTTAAGATGATATACAGGTGACTTAAACCAGAACATAACAGCAGAAGGGAGAAAACCAAAAACTAAAATGTTATTTGTTTGAAGCAAGTCTGTCCATTAGGGCTTTTTTGTTTCTTTTTGTCTTTTGGGAGAGTCATGGCAAATTCTTTAAAGGATCCTATCGAGTTTGTTGGCACACGATATATCCCTTAGTTTGAAGGTTGGTTAAGAGGGGTGTACAGGAGAGAAGAGGCAGGTGGGTAGGACTGAAAAGGCATGGAGTGGAGGAGTATGTCAGTACCGCTGACACAGTCACAATAACCCACTGAACCACAGTCGTCCAAGTCTGCCAGGCCCTTCCTGAGACCTCCAGAGATGGGTCTGTTTTTTTCAGGCAGCAGCCCTGAAAACTTCCTCAGAGAGTCAAGGTCAAATTTTATTGCACAGGAACCAAAATTATTCCCCTTCCCCCATTTCCTGAGCTGGAGACCTCCAAGGGCAAGCACGGCTGGGGCTGCCCATCTGCTTGCTCCTCTGGCCAGCAGGGAGCACTCCACCAGAATGCCTGGGGAGCACCTACTTCAAGGGAAGTGCGAGGTTTTTGCATTGGTCCAAGCTTCTGGCTGGTCAGTCACCATTCTCAAGTAGCTTTTGTAAGTTGTTTTGTATCTTGAAATAAGAGAAAAGCTCCTGTTATTACATAGAATGGAGTATATTAAGGGCATATTTGCTATGGTCTATATAATGCTTGAGCTTAACCTCTTCTATCTTGAATAAAAAGCTACACATGGGTTCAATTTAGATCAGGCAAATAAATGCATGATTGAGGCATAGAATTCTGTTTGACAAACCACTTTAAAATGAAAAAAGACAGGCTAAAAATTTTTGAAAGAGTGGCACAAAGATGAAAATGTCGGTAGAGACTAAGAGAAACAGAACAGAAGACCTGGCAACACCAGGTGTGACCCATATGCATTCAGAGACAATAAGAAACTGGGTTTGACAAAGCCCATGTGATGGTCTGAATCGGACAAACACCACAAATAATGTTTAACACTCCTATTAGATATGACATTTCCCACGGACCCTGCCTATCTGTGGATCTTAAGACCACAGTATAGTGTTGGGCATTGAAAATGTGCTTGGTAAATGTTTGTTGGGTAAATGAACTTTAAAGAATCCAGAGCAAGGGATTTTCAAGAGCCAACACTGTGAGGGAGTAGGGAACCCTGTGGAACAAAAGAAAGAGAACGGTCTTCTTTTGGAAGAACATTCTGTGATGTCCTAGAGATCTAATCAGTATGTGCCAGGAACATCATGTGTGCTCACCTTGACCACACACCACCACACACACAGGGAGGTTTTATACACCAAGCTAAGGGCCAGAGATGCTATGTAACAAGACCAGTCACACAGTAAGTGGCAGAGTAGGGAAAAGAACAGACATCTGACTCCAAAGTTCATGCTCTTTCTTCTGCACTGCTCCACCATTAATGCCATTCCCAGTACTAAGAAAATAAGTATTTACTTCTTTACCTGTAAGAGGCATTGCCTTCATCCCCCAAATTCCTACTTCATATCTCCCCTAGCTTCCCACAGGACCAAAGATGAATGGAAAAGCAGGAGTGGGGAGGTAGAGAAAGAAATGAAATAAAAGACTGATATCCAAAATATTTAAAACACCTGCAAAGACAAAAACCCCAAAAGTAAAACAAAGGAGATAAATGGGCAATTTACAGAAGGAATATTACAGAAAGAAATCCATATGGCCAGTATATATATGAAAAGATGCTCAACCGCAGTAGTAGTTAGGAAAATGCAAATACAAACCATAATGAGATTGGACTTCATACTCTTAGACTAGGAGGTAGTAGGGGGTCAGAATGGCCTAATGGTGCCCCTCTTAGAGAAACTGAGGAGACATTTGAAGCTAATTAGTTGACAAAGTCCTGCGTAATCTGTCAGTGTCAAGTGAAAAGGATGACTGAAAGGGCAGTGATGCCATGAACAGAAATGGGGAAGTTACAAGAGGGCAGATCAGGAGGCTGAGACATGACCAGTCCCTGCAGGAGAGTAGAAGGAAGTTGCTGGTACTGAGTAGAAAGAGCTGAGACCTGGCTCTGACTTTCCCGCAGCACACGGCTGCTGTCCCCCGACCATGCGCTGCTGCGTTACTACTAGCTTCCCTTAGGCTTGGGGGTGCAGACCGAGCAACAGCACATGGGTGTGGCCTGGTGGCTATTTTTATACTAAGATTCCTATGAGCAATGTGTGCAACTTATGACTTTTTACAACTTCAACACATTCCTTTTGACCCTAAATCCCCTCTTCCCTTCTTCTGCTTTGGGACACAGGTTTCTGTTGGTAGTATAGGCCTCCTAGCCAAGTAGCTGGGCTCTGCACAAGACATGGCCAGCTGTCTGCCTGTTGTGGACGAGCTCTCCTGTTTTCCTGTCCCTCATTACAGAAAGTGGTGTCCCAGCTGGGCCCGGCAGGGGAGTGGGAAGAAATGCACGGGAGGGCAGCAGGGTTCCGTGTGTTTCCAGTCCAAAGAACACCACTGTGTGCCAGAGTGAACGAGAGAGAAAATTACCATCCCGTTCTCTAGGTCAGCACGGAAGCCAAACATTTCTAAGCATTTCATCCAAAAAATTTTATCTTCAATTCTTAGCAACTGACATTTTAGAAGGGAAAACAGTTCTCTTTGCTATCCCATACCTTCTCTAGCTTAATTGTGGATTTAAAAGAAAATTTCCAAGCTTGCCCACCGATACAGTGATTCAGTGGGAATTATCTGTCATGCCTTGGTTTAGAACAGAAGTATGCAGACTCCTTCGCTCTCCATACTTCAGTGGTTAAATGCTAGATACCATTTAGTATTGCAAGACAAGCATAATTTGACTCATTTGTATTTCATGTTTCTCCCCAAGTGAGCATAACTGCACCATTGTGGAAAGCCACCAAATACTTGGCATTTGTGGCAGCAATTTGAATTGAACAACTCACTCTAAACCTTTCCTTTAAGGATAAGGGTCAAAATAAAGCATGAGACAGGGACAGACATGCTGAAAGGAGAAATAAGAAATGTTAACTAGGTTTAACTCTGGGGATATTTCTGGGTGCCTACCTTCTCCTGTTCACCTCCCTACTCAGTGGGCTTATCCCCCAGGCCTAAGGTTGGATTCTGAGGAGCAGTAAAAGCAGAGGGCTTCGAAGCACAACTTTGAAGTCAGACCTGGTTCACATTCCAGTCCTGCCAGCTCTCTGGGTGTGTCTCCCGGAACAAGTTCACTTGAAACTTGACTTCTTTTGTCAGATGGGAACAATGGCATGTATCATAGAGAGACTGAATGCAAATATTTTCTGTATGGCGACAACTAACGTGGGTGGAGCTGGGGGCTGCCCTCGCTGGTTGCGGGCACTCCTGACCGTGCCCCTCCCCGAGCCCTGTGTCAGCCGACACTTACCATTGGGCCCTATGGCACAGAGAATGATTTCTAACCAAGTGGGAAAACCACAAGGTCAACCAACAAGGAAGATGGGGTTGGAACCTATTTCTCAGTGGAAAATCCCCTGGCTGCGTATGGTCATTTAGGTGGCCTGTTGCACAGCCATGCGTGTGTAACCCCTGCCCTGTGGCAGTGGACAGGCACTACTGCGACGCCCCCAACCCAGGAAAGAGACCTGTCACCTTTTCTAGTCTCATTATGTTGGCTGTAAGCTCTCGGCACAGGACCTCCACATTTAACTGTACGTGTGACCCCGGGCTGGATGGTGCTGTCTGTCTGTAAGAACACAGAGAAGAATTACTGTGGGCAGGGATGGCAAAGAAAGAAGTGGAATGAACACATTTTAAATTTATCTGACCAGAAGACTAGGTTATAATAGAAGACAGTGTGCATGTACCTTGTTCACATCAGAAAGGCCCTGCAGTAATCCTCAACTTCAGACTAGATGTTTAGGGGACTAAGTCTTCAAAGCTTAGCTGGAAATCTCTTAAGCTATTTCTGTTTAAGTGGCTACATTGCGCCTCAGCTTCCAAACACAAATCAGACAATTATTCTCAAGCACACAGTTTCTTAGACTACTTTTACTGACTCCCGATACCCTCTCTCTGCCCACAACTGCACGCATCTGCAAGGCTTACTGCTCTTCTCAGTCATGTATGTACTGTTTATAGGAGAAGCAACCATTTACACTAGAACTTTCATAATGTTTAGGAATGTCTTTAATCAAACTTCTGTTGATGTGTGACTTTTGCAGTGGCTTCTTTGAGACCTGTGGTACAAACATAATTGCCCTTGTCTAGTAATATAACCGATGTATTCACTATTTACCACTTGACTGTTAAAGGCATGGGCTCTTACTCTGAGGTCCACTGGGGTCCTATACCAGCTAAAACTGTAGGAAATTTAGAGATGTGTGTACATTTTCCCAGAGAGCTGCTCTAAAACCATTGATTAGATTTTCATGTTAAGGTTAAGAATCATGGTCTGTATCTCCTTTCTATTTCTTGGTTGTAATTTAATTTTAGATGTGAAGTTTTTAGATGGCATTGACTGGTCTAATTTATTTTACATAGGATCCATTTTTTGAGACATAGGTACTTGGTAACTTATCGATGATTATCTAAATATTTAGAAAGCAATCAGATGTTTTTCACTGAGTAGTTCTGAAACGGTTTTTTCTTTGTCCTTGATCCATAGTATCAAAATCTGAGATCCCAAAAAGGAAACTGAATCTAAACCTTCTGATTTCTAAACGAGGTATCTGAGACCCAGAGTACTGATTTATCCACACAGAATTCTGACAATCCAGACCTTCCCGTCATGGGTATTCCCTGACCTCATATAATATGTGATCTTTGTGATTTTCCCTTTAAATGGTTGTTTTTCAAATTGTATCTCCTCCTGGATTGATTATTTAAATAGTAGAATAAGTATTCCATTTGCTTTCCATTAGTGGAATTTCCCCCTCATCATCATCGTTAATTAAATGATAACAGGACATGAGGTACATTTTCCTAATAAAATCAACCCCTTATATGGTAGTGAACTAATAGTTTGCAATAATGTAGAGCTACCTCCTAGCTTTAAGTGTATTATTAACATTTTGAACAACACGTGAGAGAGTAAGGGCAGGGTATGAATTTATCCCAAACCATTCATTAGACTTATTACTGTTTCAAATGTATATTTATGGTTCAGAAATAATCTGTGTACCAGCATTGCATAAGCCATAGAACAAGACTTTTAGGTGACTGTTAAGACTGTAAAGAAAGGCCCTAGAATTGTATCGCGTAATAGTTCTCAAAGTGTAGACCCCAGGTCAGCACCAGAAATTCGGAGAACGGGCCCTGCATTCTGTTTTAACAAGCCATCCAGATGATTCTGATACACACTGAAAACATCCTGACTCACTTCTCCGCTGTTCCTTGTAAGCAACCACTGGTGACTAGGTTTTTGTAGTCATATAGACCTGACACCTGATTCTGTTAAAATTATTTCTCTGAGTCTCAGTTTCTTCATCTGTAAAATGGGAATAATAGCTATCTTATAAGGTTATGGTGAAGTTATGAGAGGAAACTGTATCTGTGTAAAAGATCTACTGTAATAGCTCTCTAGCACACAGTACTTACTCTGTAAAGAAATATCTCTACTTTTAAAACTTCAGGTAAAAGTATGCTCTAAACATGGAATACTTTATTTTACTTTTTAGAGAATGTGTCAAAATCCTCATGTAAATGGGTTTAAAGGAAAGACCACTATGGCAATAGATTTAATTAGGTTAGGCATGTTAAAAATACATGGTAGAAAATACGTGGTAGAAAATCTTCACAGACACATTCAACTAATTACTAGTCACATGGATCTTTATAGTGGTCAAGAGTTTTGTAAATAAGTGAGTTCATACAAAGAGTTACATATGATGAAATGTGCTGAGTTACTTAAATTGCTTCTTTTCTATGAATGTCTTTTGACTCATTGCCATTGTACGAAGATAAACTTGACTATCTTAATAAATGGGCCAAGGTCACAACTGAGTCTTAGGATAAGAGAACAAGATAATGTAAAATTAGGCTTGTTTCTTGCCTTATCACTGGCGACACTGTAGCAACTCAAGAACATGAAGAGTCAGGTCATTTCTTTCCATATATACACTTAACAAAATGTCTCATACAGAATGTATCGTCAATTAATGCTTGCTAAGAAGGATGCCAAGCTCAGGTCAAACATTATACTAATGTGAACAGCAAGCAGAAGACAGCACTGGAGGGAAGTGTCTTACTCAGTCTGATGGGTGTCCACAATGGAGGTTAGTGACCCCAGCCGCTCCTCCAGAGAATTAATTCTGTATCTCATGTAGAAGGTCGAGATGATTAGTGCACAGACACTGGAAAGGGATAAAAGAGAAATTCCCAATAGGTTAGTGGCCAGGACCTGATTGATGTTTATAAAACAGTAACCTCAGAGGCAACACTGTACATTTGAGGCAAGGTATTTTCCAAAATAACTTGGCTACAGAGACTTCAAAGGTCTTTTTTCAACAGACTGATGCTTGCACTAAACTTTAGAACTAGAAGGATATTGAAAATTCTCTATTTCCTCAATTTACAAATAATGGCATTTCAGTAGTCTCGCTCAAGGCCAGCCAATGGAGATTCCCGAGCTGGTGCTCATTCCTCCCACCAGGTACTGTCGAAGGCCCTGGCCAGCGAGTGTCCAGTCTTGTGACTCACATTCTCTGCTTTATCTGGAAACCAAACTGCAGATCCTCCTTGGTTCTGAGGAACAGCCTAGAACTGGGTCAGGTTATTTTCAGAAGAACAACTGGCTAGAAGCTACAGGCTAGTTACAGGCTAGAAGCTGAGAGGGAACTTAAAAAAGTCAATGCCTAAGTTTTCAATAAAGGGGATGACATTTTCAAGTTGTTTTGGTCTCTATCCAGAGGACACGGGATAGATGGAAAAATAAACATGAACGAAGATGCTGCATAATCCAGGAAACCATTTCCTAACTGAGAGTATCTACTTAGAACTTAGTCTTCTGCTGGATTTGGCATATTTTGCTTTTCCTTCCTTCCTTCCCACTATTTATTTAAATAAGAAGGGGATGAATATGAAAAGGTGACCTAAGTTTAAGAAAAAAGGTATTGAAGTAGGAGACAAAAATTTCCCCCTAAAAGATTTGGGTCATATTAGAGGCAACTGAGATTCACAATGGCTCTTGGTAACGTGATGACATTATTCCTGTAGTAAAATGAATCATTAAGTCATTCATAATAAATACACTTACTTACACAATTGCATAGAATATAAGAATATGGTGGAGAGTCGGACATTTCTGAGACTTTACTCTGGGTATGATTCCAATGGTTTCTGACTGACCTGTTGGGTGGAAAACAAAAAGCTTCTGTTTAAAAATGATAACACATCTCCTTCGCGCAGCAGTATCCCTATAGGGAAGAAGTACTTGAGAGACAGAATTATTTCCAGGTAATAAAAATCAGAGGAAATACTAACCAAAGCCTTTGCTTCTCATTTTAACCAGTAGTTACAATTCCTTCCCACATGTTGCATTCAATACATATCTATTGAGAGCCTTCTCTGTGCCAAGCATTGCGATGGAGTGACTGGTGAACAATACAGACCCCATCCTTGATCTCCTACCAGTACAACTGGTAAGCAGTTATTATAATCATCAGTAAATAATAATAAAATAACGTGAGTTTTACTGGTAATTTTTGAATCACAACCTCAAAGTATTCAGAATAATGAAAGGTCTTCCACGAAGGCTGTTCACCTTTGTATGCCCCACAGTAAAGCATGAAACTGGGTATAGTTTGTTGAGTGAATAAATGAATTAACATGCCAAGACCTACAGCAGGAAGGGAGGGGGAGGGAATAGCAAAGGCAGTCATAAAGTGAAACATGAGGGCCCTTTAAAAATTACAGGCAGATGCCCACCCCTGCCCCCCAAATAATCCATTCCTCACCATGCCCAGGGAGACTCTTGGCTTTTCCGTCAGGCACTCTGTTCACAAGGGCATCTGCCCGAGTTGGTTTTGCTTCTCCCTTGGAGACATTCAGAACTGTCTGGGATTCTGTCACATGGAAATCTACCAAGATGAAACGGGGCTGGGTAAGCTTTCTCCCCAGTGCGTTTAAACACATAGGATCAACCACAAAGCAAATCAATCCCTTAATATGCATAATCGCCAAAGAATATAAATGGATCTTCTTACGAGCTGGTTGAGTGGTTTGGGGATGAAATCCAATGTTCAAGCAAATAAAAAATAAAATGATAGAAGGGCAGTCTGTCCTTATCCCACTGACTCATGGGGACGATTCAGCTATAATAATAATATTACTAAAGAAGAGGTAAGAAAATACTGCATGTTTCTGCCTTTCAACCACTCCAATATTATGTCTATTTAAGAGACTTTTTTTTTTTTCTTTTTTGTCACACCATGTGGCTTGTGGGATTTTAGATCAACGACCAGGGACTGAACCTGGGTCCTCGGCAGTGAGAGTGTGGAGCCCTAACCATTGGACCGCCAGGGAATTCCCAAAGAGAATGCGTACTACCACATAGGCAACTCCTTTTCCTTGAACTTTCAAACTACCCTTTGTTTAGAGTCCCTTCCTAATTGTTAGCTCAGAAGGTGTGTTGTTTTTTGGTTGTTTTTGGCTTTTGGTTGAGCTAAGGATGTTTTGTGGAGAATTAAATTTCAGTAAAGATACAGAAATCTCCCAGACCTCGAGAGTTCTCAGATTCAGGAGTCTGGGATCCAGAACTGCTGTATCCTTCCATGTCCTGCCTTCTTTGCCGTACCACTCCATCCAGATCTGAGAATTCGTCGTTGAAATCCTGAGGGGAAATAATGAAATGAAGAGAGAGGCCCATTTTCCTTTATTCAACAGACAGAACTTTGTAACCTCCAGGCCTTTCACTTAGGCCTGACCTATAAAAAATGGAAAAGAAGGAAGGATTACCCCATACTACTGGGTTTCCTCAACAGATCACGGAGTATCTGGTTACTGATTTTTTTGGGCAGTTAGAATTCTGTTAACAAACAGTGGCCAACTCGTTTGAAATAACAAATGTCTAGGAAAAAAACTGGGATGCTGTTGTTTGAAAAGCTTCTAGGGTAAAGCTAGAGAAGTCTCATTAGCATTTTGTAATGAGAAAACATGACCAAAACAGACATACACAAGGCAAATAAGTAGCTAGAAAGTTCTAGATGCATGTTCTAAATGCAGAGAAAGGTTTTCTCAAATTATAGTTTTAAAAAGATATTGGAAATAGAAAAGGGAAAATGGCTTTAGCAAATTAGACACCGAAAGGAAAGTTTTAGCTTTTTTCTTCCCTCGAACAAATCAAAACAGGGTCAGTAACATTACTTCTAAATGACAAAAGGGTGAGAGAGGAGTGAGGAGTCGGGGAAAAAGCAGGATGTTTTTACTGTGTATCCCACTTGTTCCCCAAAGTGCTTAGGAAATGAAGAGACAAGACGCGTCACTAAAATTTCGCGGTGAAGGCACAATTCGGCGAGCTTTTCACAATTTATTTAGCTGCCAAGTGAAGAAGAGGAGACATATCTTGTAAGCAAATTACCAACCTTTCACCTTCAACTAGCTGTCTCTTGATCATTTCAATAGTCATTTCAATGTCATGCAAGAATTTATAGGGGAAGGAAAATTTTAAAATTCAAGTCTCCTCAATTTAATAATTAATTGAACACCTACTACAGATCAGGCAGTATGCAAAGCTCCAAACACATATGACTGTGCCTGATCTCCACAGCCACGTCAGGAGCCTGGCATTTTACTGGGTGAGGAAGCTGAGTCAGAGCAGTTAAAGAGCTTGCCCCATGGCATAGCTCAGCTGGGTGGAACCCAGATTCAAAACCATGTTTGAGGGATTCCAAATCATAAGTGTTTCATTCTATTTTGTACTGTTTCTCACTATTTTTTAAGGTAGATTTTTTTTTCAAAAAATTGAGATAAAACTCACCAGTTTAAGTATACAAATGTAGTGGTTTTTAGAATAATTACATTGTCGTACAACCATCACCACTGTCTTATTTCACAATACGTCCATCTCCCCCCAGAAAGAAGCCCTTTACCCGTTAGCATTCACTCCCAATCCCATCCCTTGGCAACCACGAATGCATTTTCTGCCCATATGGATTTGTCTGTTCTGGACATTTCATATACATGGAATCATGCAACATGTGGCCTTTTGCGTCTGCCTTCTTCCACTAAGCATAATGTGTTCAAGGTTCGTCCATGTTGTATTATGTATCAGTAGTTCTTCATTTTTATGGTCAAAGAATATTTCCCTGTATGGATATATTACATTTTATTTATCCATTTATCAGCTGATGGCTATCAGGGTTGCTTCCACTTTTTGGCTATGATGTATAATGCAGCTATGAACATTCTGGTTTAAGTTTTTGTGTGAACACGTTTTCAATCCCTATACTTTTTAACAGCTCTCAAAAAAAAAAAGATTTGTAGGGCTTCCCTGGTGGCGCAGTGGTTAGGAATCCACCTGCCAATGCGGGGGACACGGGTTCGAGCCCTGGTCCGGGAAGATCCCACATGCCACGGAGCAACTAAGCCCGTGCACCACAACTACTGAGCCTGCGCTCTAGAGCCCGTGCGCCACAACTACTGAAGCCTGCGCGCCTAGAGCCCGTGCTCCGCAACAAGAGAAGCCACCACAATGAGGAGCCCACGCACTGCAACGAAGAGTAGCCCCCGCTCACCGCAACTAGACAAGGCCTGTGCGCAGCGACGAAGACCCAACGCGGCCAAAAATAAATAAAGTTAAAAAAAAAAATTGTAGATGTTGAAATTCTGGGCTCATACTGCTTCACCAAAGGTATTAAAACGTTTAACGATTATCAATTTGGAAACAACCATTTGAACAACACGGCTAGGACTCTCTTGGGCTTGCATGATACCATCACAGGTATAAATCTTGTACAAATTGGGGGAGCTACTTCCCGTTCGAGATTTACTCTGTAGTCAGAAAGTCTAAGGGAATCAAAGAATCTCTACCTCTTGGGCATTACAGCTTTCTTCTTTTACAGTTATTTCTGGGTATCCCTCATCTTCTCTACTAAGCTGTAAAGACTTTGAAGGCAAGAACTAGTTTTGATTTTTCCTGGTGTCCTTATGGGTACACTAGCATGGTGCCTTGAACATAGAAGGCATTCAACGACTTGTGGGATGAATCATGCCCTACCTAAATAGACTGGTGAATCCCTCTAAAACAACGCTGACAGACAAACAGAGCAAGATTTGCTGAATACCTGCATGGACCAGTAACTGGCTAAAACAGCGCACTATCGTGTTTCTTTTCTTTTGCAGGATGACTCTTTTAATTACCTGAAAAAGTTGATGACCTCCTATGGTCCCCTCTTCTTCAGGACAGAAATGCCCTGTTTCTTCAACTTTGCCTCCCATACTGTGGTCCTAAGTTCCTCCCGCACCCTGGTCATGGTGTAAGGAGAAGTGTGATTGTGGGACCTACTCACTTTCTTTTGCATTTAGATAGTTATGTAGGCAACTCACCAGAGGCAGAGATGAAGGGCGATCTGCCTGGAAACTGTTTTCAAGAGAAGATGGATTGGGACTGTTGCCGGTACTTGTATTCTGAAATTATCAAAACAAAATTAGTTTTACAAAATGAAAAAACCAGATCAACTACAAAACCATAAGAAATACAGAAGAGAGACAGCAATTGAGGCTCAGAGATGTTGTACTCACTTCTAAGTGTCCACACACAGACTTCAGTAGTTTGTAAGTTGAATCTCTGGAGAGTAAGGAGACAAATATGTACTGAAAAACAAAATAATAATTATTTAATTATTAACAGATACTGCTCGACTAGAAGTGAGTGTTCAGAGTTAAAAAATTTATCTATTTTTTCATTTTCAAACACCATAGACTATATTCTATACCAAGTCTATATTCTCATTCCACTCAGCCACACATTCAGTTTTTATTCCATTCCTGGAATAAAGTGAATATATTCTCCCACAATAGCAACAAAACTCTCAAACCCAACTTAAATAATACAGAAATGTAGAGCAAAATGAAATCTCCGGTGCTCTGACATAGGTGCCCCAAACAAGCATGGATGGAAAAGACCTGGATAGTAAAGAAAGGCCAGTTGTATTCGCCAGGTCCTCTTTTAAGCCTCTCCCTCCCTTCCCCGCCCCCCTTTTAGAAGGTATTTAACAATTCCCAAGGGTCTGCTTTCTCTGCTCTGACCTAGATTTCCATTGAAAATGTCCCAGCCACTCTAAAAGGCTCATTCTTTTTCAAGCCACTTCCAGATTCTTTCTTGTACAAATATGGAGATTTTCTGGTGAATGCTTATAAATAAGTTATGGGAAAGAAGTCAAGTCAGAGCTAGACAAGTAATTTGGAGACAAATAACACAAGGAAAAATGATTTTACCATAAACCACACGTAGAGAAATAAAAAAGTTCATACTTTTTCCATCTATTTGAGCCACAGCATCTTTTCACACCCCCTTTCCAAAGTTTGTGATTACTCTCTCCTGCATTCCCATGAGAGAAACCGATACACTTCCCGAGCAAACACTGTATTCCAAAGTAGTTAACATTACGGGTTCTGGCATTAGACAGACCGGGTTGCAAATTTTGGCTCTGTTACCTACCAAGTGGGTGACACTGGGCAAACTCTTAGTTTCAGTTTTCTTAACAATCCCCACCCCTTACGGTATGGTAGTGTGGAATAAACGTGTAAATATAAGGAAAGCATTTTGTGTACATCTGGCAAGAAGTACCTGATGCTTGGTAGCCATTTGTATTAAAAAATAATAATAATCTAGAAACATATTAACATATTTCCTAGCTCATCAGAATAGCCTCTTTTAATCTTTCCTTCTTTCTCCTTCCCCCTTTAAATTATTCAGTATGATTAGAAATGAATTGTAGCTTTTATGCTTTCATAAAAATAGTAGGTAAAATATTAAAAAAGAATTTCAAGTGAAACATGAGTAACCAAACCATTCTACTCTCTCTCTCGCCAAGGTGAAACACACATCGCTCTCCATGCAAATATTTCAGGTTGCCCATGTCTGGGGTAGCCCAACAGTCAATGACAGCTCCGGAACTTCTGTACTGAAGAGGGGTAGTTAAGGCAACCTGGAGGCAAAGAGGGCCTAGGAACTGGTCCTCAAGCTGAACTTGAATAGCAAGCCCAAGTTTTACGTCTTTAGGTTGGCTCTGGGGAGGCACCCAATGGAGGTTATGGGGAGGCTGGTCAACCCCGCCCCAGGGACCCCTCATATTGCCCTGCCGCACCCTGTGAATAAGGTGGTGGTGATGGTGGCGTTTTAAATAATAATAAAGAAATGAAATATATCCCTGTAGCCTGACCTGACCCAATAGATGTTAGGGAAATGGAAGTTGGGAAAGAATTTTACTTTTTTGACTTTGGTCAAGTAAGTATAATGAAGTCAGCAGGAAATTCAAAATTGGCAACTATTACATTAGAATAAATCACCTTGTCAGGGGAAACAACACTACACAAATGTCTAAAGGCTGTGATTTCAAAAATTCGTCTTACAGAGTAACTCCTGATTCATGGCATTATGGTTCAGGGTCTTGGTCCTCCGCAAGAAGCCCCTAAGGCAATGAAACCCAGAGTAGGACAAAGCAGGGTGCCCGCACCTGCTGCGTACTCACCCTGTCTGTGACTGTCGCTATAATCAGGGCATTTGGCACCAGAAGGGCAGTTTTGGTTTTCTTTATCAGGGTTACCGAGAAAGCCGGAATAGAGATCTGAAACAGAATCACTGAGTTAACATGGGTTCAGGCTTCACAGAGCAGCACTCCAAATCTTCATGTTAAAGGAAAAATAAAAAAAGATAAAACCAGCAGCAAGCTCTCCAGCCTCCATGAAGAAAAGTGAATCTTAGAAGAGTGTCACCGAGGTCGTCTGGATCATCAAGTCTACAGAAGGGTTTGGTGGGAAACCTGGGACATGCGAATAGAATGCAAAATGTACAGCCATTTTAAAGGTAATCCCCAGGCTCTTAAGAAGTTACATGCTTGTGGTCATCTACTTTGAGCTCATCTCTACACACCCTCCTCTTTTCTGTCCTTAGGGAAAAAGGCTGAAAAGCACTGGTATATAGTAGGCCCATTTTTGAACAGGGAGTCTGGGGCCTGAATTCTCAGTTCTATTACTATCCACATGACTTATTCAACCTTGTAAGGTATCCTTTCTTGGCCTTGGTTTCCTGACTTATAAAATAGAGACAGTCTTACCTATTTCCCAGGATTTTCTGTGGATTAAATGAGATAATAGATGGAAAATGCCTCGCACTCAATAAAAATGTCATTCATTTCCTCATCTGTCTCATAAAAAAGAGGATGGGTGAAATACAAGCACCCTTAAGTTCTTTTCTGGCTCAAACAATAAAGAATAACAACAATGACAATTACAGCAGCTACCATTATCAATACCTATTTACCAGATGATAATTTCATTTAAATATGACAGTCCTATAATGTAGACATTCTAAGAGAGAAGGATGTTTGTTTAGAGAGGTATATAACTTTCTCAAGGTCATAAATAAGTTACAAAGATAGAATTTGAACCAATCTGATCCAAAATAGGGATTCTTTTTCATACAAGGTACTGCAAGAATGTACCAGATGCTGCGAAGAATAGTAGATGTTCCTGATATTTTTATGTTACAGCCCTTCAACCAGGTTTGATCTCAAAGAAAAATGGATCACATCACTTTGATCCCTGAAAAGAGAGTCACCCCCACTCCTGGTAAAAAGAAAAGGGCCTGAATCCCTCCACAGGTGCACACACTCACATGAACATACATTTTGTAAAAATGCTTCACATATTCTGAAAGAGATCAACAAGGTCAGTGGGGAAGAGGAGGGGTTTATGTTAGTACTGCCAGCTTGAAGGACCAAAACTAAGCTTTCAATTTTCTTACATTTTAATTTAGAACGTTTGCGTTCATATTAGGTTTATGAGATGGAGTTGTTCTACTGCCCCTCCAGGTTCCTGATGGGAAGACTATGAAGAATGAGGGGCTACAACACAGCAAAAATAAATAAATTAAATAAAAAAAAAAAAGAATGAGGGGCTAATCTAAATTAAACACTAAAGAAAAAAACCTATTTTGCCAAAGAACTCTACCCACGAAACTTTTGAAGTTGGGGAGATAATTCAGAAGTGATAAATTGGGATTACTTTGGGGAAAAGAATGTAAGATCTTCCAAGACAGATGATGATATAAAAATGAGCCTAATTTCGTTTCTCAGCAGCAACACACACACACAGTGATAAGGGGCTATAAATTTGGATTTTTGCAGAATGTAAGGCATGGAACACCCTTAAGAAGGAGTTTCTCTCAATTGCTTCATGAGTATAAGTGACAACTAGATAACATTTGAGAAATAAAGCATGAATCACTTCTCTGTTTGAGCCTAGATGCAATGTGATACATGCCTTTAATTTTACTAGCATCTAAAAATACAAACAGGGCTTCCCTGGTGGCGCAGTGGTTGGGAGTCCGCCTGCCGACGCAGGGGACACGGGTTCGTGCCCTGGTCCGGGAAGATCCCACATGCCGTGGAGCGGCTGGGCCCGTGAGCCATGGCTGCTGAGCCTGCGCGTCCGGAGCCTGTGCCCCACAACGGGAGAGGCCACAGCAGTGGGAGGCCCGCGTACCGCAAAAAAAATAATAAAATAAAAAAATAAAATAAATAAAAATACAAACAGGCTGAGGAAAAGGTTCTGATTAAAGTTACACTTTAGGGTGCTTAGAAAATTCCCCTTCCTAGAGCAGATTGCTTGCTTGTTTTTAGTTCACATTGGATCATGTTGGACCAAGGTCTGCTGGCAGTGAGCAAATTCTGCCGCAGAGCTGAAGCCCACATCTCCTTGACACCATCCTCAGTGGGTAAGGAATGTGCAAGTCACTATCATGGTTCTTATCTTCCCACCCTCCTCTTGTCTCTTAGAGACAGCACATGCAAAAGCAATCCCACATGTCCTTGTCTTTAAAAAACCAGGTCACTCCTTTTAGCTTTTTTTGGTCAGTTCTTTCTTAGGTAGAGATAGGATTTTGAAACCATTGCTAGAATCATATTAGCTTGAAATCACTTACTGGCTTTGTGAATTCCCCATCCTTTAACAAAGGCTAATTTTTTAAAAAAATTATTTTATTTATTTTTTGGCTGTGTTGGGTCTTCGTTGCTGCGTGTGGGCTTTCTCTAGTTGCAGTGAGTGTAGGCTACTCTTCGTTGCGGTGCACGGGCTTCTCATTGTCGGGGCTTCTCTTGTTGCAGAGCATGGGCTGTAGGCATGCGGGCTTCAGTAGTTGCAGCACACGGGCTCAGTAGATGTGGCTTGCGGGCTCTAGAGCTCAGGCTCAGTAGTTGTGGCGCACGGTCTTAGTTGCTCCACGGCATGTGGGATCTTCCTGGTCCAGGGCTCGAACCCGTGTCCCCTGCATTGGCAGGCGGGTTCTTAACCACTGCGCCACCAGGGAAGCCCAAGGCTAATTCTTTGTTCACTACTGTTTTCAACCCCTGCTGCTTTGGTCAGAGGTGTTGGCTCTCTCTATTCCTGAGAATTGTCTTTATCCCATGGAATTGGAGATCAGTAACACCCAGTTCCCTTCCCCACTTCATGAACAACTGCTTATAATCCAGAAATCTAGAAATATGGTGCAATACTATTCAATATTGCTTTGCATTATACTGATTCAAATAATACTGTGAATCTCAACTATGTTTATCTAAACATAACTCTGTACAATAAAAATTACATGTTTGATGTTAGTCTGCTGACTCAAAACCAAAATAAAGAATTTCCATTATATTTGTTAAGTGGTCTTTATTTATAAGACTGCCAGTGGCTTTAGTGAGAATATTTAAATAAAATATATCTACCAGTCAAAACAAAAGGAGTTTTTAATCAGCAACTTCAAGAGTATAAAAGATGCTTATTCATAATCACGAATCAGAATGATTAAAATCTTACTGAGGGCTTCCCTGGTGGCGCAGTGGTTGAGAGTCCGCCTGCCGATGCAGGGGATGCGGGTTCATGCCCCGGTCCGGGAAGATCCCACATGCCGCGGAGCGGCTGGGCCCGTGAGCCATGGCCGCTGAGCATGCGCGTCCGGAGCCTGTGCTCCGTGACGGGGGAGGCCGCAACAGTGAGAGGCCCGCGTACCGCAAACAAACAAACAAAAACTCACTGAGGTCACGCAAACCCCAGGTGTTTCTCTGCCACTTTGTTCTGGTGGCCTGACTGAACTGTGTGATGTGACATCACAGCTCAAAGGGAAAGAATGTCAGTGGGGTGGAATTAGTTCTTCCCTTCTCATGCCAAAGTCCCAAGGGCCTCGTTTTAGAAGGCGGTGCCCTGGGAAAACTGCCAACTTCTTCAGGCTATCCTCCTTAAAGGCTCAGGTATAGTGGGCCTCTGCTCCCCCAAATCTGTGTTTAGTGAGAAGGAAAAGATGTCCGTGTTCACCGGGGACTGAGGGTATGTGACTCCCCCAGACCAGGCCTAAAATGCTCCAAATCCTGCTCATTTTGTGCTGGTGACAAAGTAAGTGCTAGTAAGTATCTTACTTATAGGCCTGTTTGCCTAGATACTTCTGATGGTAACTGTGAATATGGTGTAAAATTCAGATTTCTTTAAAGAATTGTTTTGGGTTTAATGTATGTCTTTGAAACAAATTATGACACATTCTCCATATGAAAACCTTTAAGAGTGTACTGGTGACATCTTGGTAAAAAGGATTTAAGGTAGGATTGTGGGAGATATATATATATATATAAGGAAATGAATGAGAGAGTGCTGTTTAGGGAAAAAGGGAAGTTTGGGTTATCTAGAGGCATTTAGAACCTGTAGTATTTGGAACTATAGTAAAGGAAACTTGGTCTAAAGGAATAATAATGACACAAATATTTATAGACTTGCTACATTTAAAACAATTAATAGTCACAATATATAAGGAAATGCAGGATTAGCTTTCTTTCTGAAAAATTATACCAACCTTAGTGTCTTTTCCAAAGACCTTGGAATGAAAACAAATCCAGTTTTCTGATACAAAGAGCTTCCCCTGGTATAATATTTCTTTCTGTAGAGCACAGGTAAAACCTGGGAAAATATATACAGGTATAACATCATGTTAGAATTTCCATTTAAAATGAAAATTGTGTATATATGTTGGTGACTCAGAGATGCGCAGAGATAACACACTCACACGCTCAAAAGATCTCTCACCTCTTTTTCAGTCATCTTTAGTGGAATAAAGCTATGGAGATGAGAGTTTGTTTTTTAATTCCAAGTCTTACAAACTTCAGTATAAACATCAAAATGGAAAGGCAAGGGGCTTCCCTGGTGGCGCAGTGGTTGAGAGTCCGCCTGCCAATGCAGGGGACACGGGTTCGTGCCCCGGTCCAGGAAGATCCCACATGCCACGGAGCGGCTGGGCCCGTGAGCCATGGCCGCTGAGCCTGCGCATCCGGAGCCTGTGCTCCGCAACAGGAGAGGCCACAACAGTGAGAGGCCCGCGTACCGGGAAAAAAAAAAAACAAACTCCTCTCTTTGGGAAGGTGTGGGGAAGATGTGTCATCCTTGTGCTAATGTTGGCACTGCTGCCCTTTCTACCCTGGTATGGTCACTAATGACTCCTTTTGAAATAGATGGTCTCACTGTGGGGAGAACACATGACCCACACCTTCCTGTTTGGAGATGGTGGGAGGAAGCCAGCATGCTGCCTAAGCATTTGTGTACTGAGGGAAGCTGGAATGGAACCCTGGGCCCCAGATGCGTTCAGCGGAGTGCAGCAGGTGCTGAACATCGTGCTGGGCCAGGTGTTTAGGTGTGACCACTGAGCCCTGCACAGCACAGGGGTTGACATGTCTGTCCACCTAGGTCTGTGTTGTCTTCTTCTAGTGGCCTCTCTTGCTCTGGTCTTATTATCTTAAATCTCAGCACGATCCAATCACAACACATTTCAGCAGTGAGTATGCAAGGCGAGGACATTCTGGAATCCCCTTGGATGGTTCCATATCACATGGAGGAGGTCACTTTCCCATTCTACTCCCTTATCTTTCAAGGTGCTGGGTGAAAGCTGAGTGAGGTCGGTGTTATTGTTACATCATGACTTTCAGAAACCTATTCCCCTTGGTGATTCAGTCCCCAGACTCTTTCTTCCCCCAAACCAATTAGCATCTTTTCAAAGTCAACCAAGTCAGAACTTACTTTGCCTCAGAGGTTCCTCAGTGGGGACATCCAGAAACAGCTTGTGGAAGTGCATGTTTGCCTTGTCCTACAAGGACGACAAAACACAGGCATCACCGCTCTTGTTCTTCTCAAACATCACGAATTTTAACTTCAATCTAAATTATGTAACAAATCTCCCCACCCTGAACAGAGACTCTTAGGAGTTCATTCTCCCTGATCTCATAGTCCCCAACCCAACCCTTCAGTGAAAAACGTGGAAGGCAGGGCACAAAGGTTTCATTTTCCAACAAGATCAGTGGCTTGCTGACTGGACATATATATATCTATAATCGTGAAGTAGCTGGTGGTCAGCCTTCTGCAGAAGTGGCTGGACAAGGATGTCCCTAATAAGAAATGAGATAAAATCTCACCAGGTAGTGGATCCCAGGGCACTAAAGGTCCCAGCGAGTACTCTCAGAAGAGGGTAGTGGTTAAAAGCCCTGCATCAGATTACCCTGAGTTTAAGTTTTAGCTGCACCTCTTCTGTGGCACGTGATCCTGGCCTAGTTACTTAACCTCTCTGGGCCAGTTTTCTCTTCTGTGCCAGTAGCTGCCTCAGAGGGATGCCGTAAGGCTTAAATGGGGTAATACGTCTCCGGTTTGTCACTGTGACTGTTACTGTTGTGAAGGTGTTCCCTTAACCAGTGTCAGGGGGAGGTGACAAGTAGGATTTCACACAAAAGACTTAACTCTCCAGGGCGGTAGAAGGCCCACGAGTCTGAAATGCTGCAAATCACTTCATTTTCATCTGTTTCCACTTGTGACAACAATGTATAGACGGCAATTTACAGTTTGTAAAATGCTTTCACAAAACACCACCCCCAGCCCCACAGTAACCTGGGAACTGATGTCAGTTCAGGACCCTGTGCCTCAGGGATTATGAGCGACTTAACTGGCTCCACACAGCTACTAAGAGGTAGAGCTGGGTCCTCCATCCACAGGACCACTTTTCTTCAAAAGCATCCTAGCAGGCAGAGTCTTATGAGCGGAACAGAGAGATACCACACGTTGGCCCTTGATGATGCATTATCCAAAGTAGGAGTAGTCTCAGTGGCAGAAATGGCCCTACTATTGCCATAAAGAAGAGCTTCAGACAGGTCATGCGTATGACAGATGGTCCCCTCAAGTCAACTCGTTTATAGATGAACACCTCACATAAAGTAGGTTAGCTCATGCTGCTTCCTTGGAGTACATCTTGCATCCAGAAAGTTTCCTTGATTAAAGCTAGGTGTTCTATCAGGGCTTTGCCGAGATCTTCTTTTTAATGGCTACAGTGAGCATTGGTTGCATGCTTGATTTAAAAATATCCTGGGCCATGGAGTCTTCGAAAATGTGAAATTAATAAAAATAAAATTTTAAAAAAGGTAGGGACTGATCTAAATTAAAGGTGACATGACAAATAAATGCAATGCCTGGTTCAACTGGATTCTAGAGAGGGGGAGCAAAAAGTCTTTATAAAGGACATTCACTACTGGGACAATTGTGGAAATCGAAAATGGATTTTATATTAGTAATATTTTTGTATATTTACTATTTAGTTAAATTTCTTGGGTGAGCCAACAGTTTCTTGTTCTAGTTCTTAGGAGATACATATTCAAGTATTTTAGAAGTGAAGTATCAAAAAGCCCCAAACTGTTGGCCCCAGTAAGTATGTCATACTCTAAGACACAGAACTGGGCTTTGTTACCCATCTGGGTGTATTTTGAAGCAGACCCCAAATTGCTTCCAAAGAAGAATCATGACCCTGTTCCCAGGTTTTCCTCCTCTGTGTGCAGTTGGGAAGCCTTCTATTCACACAGGTGCCTTATCACACTCTTTAATTGTAGTGCAAGAATGTCACACCTCTCCTGGTCTCCGCTAATTATTAGACAAGCACATGACTCTCAGTACTCACTGCCCCTCTGCATGTGCCGCATGGTCAGCTGTGAAATATAATGTTGATGAAAGCTCGCCCGAGGGAACTGCAGCTGGTCCTTTCTTCCTGATTCTCTAAAATCTGTGCCTACCTTAGTCCTGACCCTTGCGTTCCCTCTTCCCATTGGCTTCAATGCTTCTGTCACCCTCTGAGACAATACACATTTCATTCCCAAATTACCTGGCTGGAAGATGAGGCCTTTTTCCTTTCAATCTTAGAGTCATTCTTGCTTTCTGTTTTACAGTCATTCTTCTCACTTGCTAAAGAGGCACCATCAAAACTGGATTTCGACCTGAGGAAAGAAAATCCAAGAAGTCCGTAAGATGAATTTTTTACGCTACCATTAACTGTATACAGTGTAATACATCTTGATTATTATACCAGCTCACAAGAAAGCCTGACATTGATTTTTCTCTTCTAGACATCGATAATCCCTCAGGACTCTAAGGACACGGTGTGGGAGACGGGGTGATTCCAGCAGGCGGGATCCCAAACTGAAGAAACCGTACCTTTTGGAAGGGAGAAGTATCGATTGAGCTGTGAAAGTAATTATATCATCTCAAAAGTATTTTAAGCAGTATAAGGAGGAGTACTGGAGGCTGATTATTGAAACTGCAGCTATAGTTCAATCCAGAATTCTGTGAATACTTAACAAGTATCAATTGAGAGAGGCGTCATGTTAAATGCCTCGGGGCGCACAAGACAGTCCTTACCCTTAAGGAACCTGTGCGCATATCAAGCATCTTTTTAAAAAGGCAGTACATGATGTAGCATCAAAACAATACATATCATAGGCGTTAGGAGGTGGTATAGAGACAGTTAAGTCCAACAGGAGGTAAGAGAAGAGACCAGCAGGTCAGTGAGGGTTTAACACACTGGGCCTAACAGGATGAGCAGGAATTGGGTATGGGGAAAAGAGAGACAGAACATCCCAGAGTGGGAAAATAGAAGTAAAATCAGGACAAAAAAAAGAACATGTTTGGAAGTCCTTCCTTTGTTCTCATAAGGGCAGAGGTCAGAGCTCCCGGATTTCTTTCCAAGGTGATTCTAGTCCTGGCTCTTCCTTTGAGTAGAACTTGCATCTTTAACCGTACAGGGAAACCCAGCCATTTCAAAGTGGAATGCATGCATGATTTTTAGAGGTATACACATGGGAAAATTTTGTGATACAATTATGTAGATTTTTTTCTGTTTATTGGGGGGAAAAAATGGCACATGAAATTCATGATTCCATGATAGGATTCTCTAGAATGAGGCTCAGTTAAAATAATGTTTGGTTCAAAGTGAATTTAAGAAGACTCTTAAGCAATTTGGGTGGCATATGGGTGTGACAGAGGGACAGAAATGAAGTTAGAGAGAGACTTTGGACTCTGGCTTTCTCAGCTGTGAAGAGACTGACTACGTGATGTCCCAGGCCTCTGCTGCCCGCAACAGTTTTGAGTCCACAGTGCTCAAACCAGAGGCAAAATATCTCTCATCAATTCAAGGCACGGAGATTTGGATTCAGTTACTGGCCACTGAACCAATTCACAGATATAAATTTCTTTAGAATTCCAGGAATTACTTTTTTAAAAAAACTATGAGTAGACATTTGTACTCTACTTGAAAATAAAATTGTTTTTACAAATGTCAAATTACCTATTATTTATACTAGCCACTAATTTGAATTTATCACCTCTACTGATTCAAATTAATGTATGTTAATGGTACTGTCAAGGCAATGATCAGACCTTCTGAAGAACAATGGACTGTAAGCAAACGTGACAAAAGGGCAGCTGTACCCTTGATGATTTCAAGAGACACAAGTAGAAGGGCTTGTCTGCACAGCATCGGCTCTGAGGTAGGGGTGGGAGGCATGCTTATTTACATGCGTTATTTCTTTGTATCTTTTCAACTGTGTTAGTCTCACTTCATACAGATGACTATGAGCAGGACCTGAAACCTAGTGCAAAACATTTTTATTCAAAAATTCAGAATTGGGGCTTCCCTGGTGGCGCAGTGGTTGAGAGTCCGCCTGCCGATGCAGGGGACACGGGTTCGTGCCCCGGTCTGGGAAGATCCCACATGCCGCGGAGTGGCTGGCCCCGTGAGCCATGGCCGCTAGGCCTGTGCGTCCGGAGCCTGTGCTCCATAACGGGAGAGACCACAACGGTGAGAGGCCCGCGTACCGCAAAAAAACAAAAAAAGTGAGATGCATCAAAACAGTCATGCAGAAAAGATGGAGACAGAATTGGGAGTGATAGTCAGAACAGAAAAATCTGGGGGCAGAGTGAAGACTTAGGCTTGGTCCTGAGTGAGGTATAGATTTGCAGAGAAGCCGTGGGCTGGGTAGCCAGGAAGGAAGGGAAAAGCAGGAGTTATTTAATCATCCTTTAGCAGAGGACAAAAGACGTAGAAGGTAGGAGTTCTGACAGTTCTAATATGGGGAGGAGAGCTATTACTCCTCCACTTGGTGTGGATAAATGGCCACAGTTACCTGTAATTGATCACTGGCTTAATCATTCTCTTTTAAGGGAACAAAAGCAACTTGAAGTTCCTCCTTCTTCCTTCCAAGTGAAAGCAAGCACATAATTGGTGCCCCTGAGAGTGACAGGGACCAGAGCTCCACATCTCAAACCGCCTGTCCCCTCACAGCCCCACGACCAAACTGAGCCCGGCTTCCAGCACCGGCCCCAGGAAATGGGCAGCCCAGGGAGATGTGCACACCCCGCCCGGGGATCCCAGGCAGGGTTTCCCTCCGCTCTTTTCCGTGGCTGCCAGGAAAGGGAGACAGCAGGTGTGCACACGCACAGGCCGAGCAGACAATCCAACCTGGGTGGCCTCAGCAGCAACCCTGACAGGCTTTCCAGGTGCTTCTAACTCCATGCCAGAGAGGGGCCCACCCCGGCTTTATCATGTAGCAAAATCAGTGCTTTCAGAAAGGGGCAGAAATTCTGCAGAAGGCTGCAGTGGGAAGGAGAAGAGAGGCTGGCGGGAAGAGCTGAGAAAGGAAGGCAGGTGCCAGTGCCTGGATATCAAGGAAAAACACCCCACTTCTTTCTCAGGGGTGTCATCTGCTTGTAGGAGATCTTCACTGTTAACCATCACCATAAAACTAGAAACACCAGCTCCTCCCAGCAACCCCTCCTCCCCGAAAGGCCAAAAGGACAGAGTCAAGGTGAGGACTCACCGCAGGGAAATGATTCTCTTCGGGTCTGCGGACTCGGTCTCGCTGGACAGAGCAGGGGACAGGGCTGCTGGCGACCTGCAGACCTTCTTTTTCTCCTCCACACCATTCTCAGCCTCTGAGCTGGAGAAAACACTTCACCTTAGATATCCAGAGTGGGGAGGAGGGAAAAACGATGACGTGACCTCGCTTTCTGGAGAGTGGAATGATCTTCAATGCCCGGGACTGGCTGAAGTCAACAAGGACAGCAGTGCCCTTTCCATCCCTCCATCCTACCCCCTCAGCTGGTGCCCCAGGGGGTGGAGCTCTGGGTCATGCCTGCTTCAGATACACGTGCAGGTTTATGTGCAGGTAAATGTCCAACTTTGCAGGGACTTTCCGGCTCCCAGGTATGCGGCCCGTGCCCGGCGCTGCCTGGCTCTGCCCAGCCCAGCATGGAGGTGGAAGATCACCCAGAAGCTGGGAGGGCCCCTGACCTGTGCACGAGCTCACGTGCGGCCTCCTGCCAGCTGTGAGCCTTTCTGCTGGGCGCTCCCACCCCGTTTGTTTGCACTTACGTCACTTATCATCTTTTGTTGTAGCTATATAGGTCCTGGTTTGGGTGCTTGCTAATTTCACCAAGCGCTTCTCTCAGCAATTACACTCTCTGATCCACACCACCACCCAGGCTAGGTGGGAATTATTACTCCCATTTCACAGACTAGGAATCTGAGGCTCTCACATAGTGAATTTCTTGCCCGAGTTTGCAGAACTAGTACCTGTCTGAGTTGGGATTCAAACTCAGGTCTGCCCATCCGAGAGGCCTTTGTGTACATGCCCATTCTCATATTTTCTTTCTTCGCATCCATCCACCCCACAGCCACGCATCTATCCTCCGAGCCCTCTTACTAGCTCTTCAGTGTGGGAGCCCCAGGCTGGGGAGAAGAATCTCATTGATTTTTATACTGACCACGAGGTCTAGGATAGTGCGGGTACATAATCGCACTCAGTAGGCTTTTGGAAAACTAGGTCTGACCTTGGTGAAAAAGGGAGTAGAGGAGACAGTAAGTCAGAGGGTGAGCACACTGAACCATTAACAGATGGAGGACGGCCAGTGCAGTGGACACAGGTGAGCTCCCTCAGTCTCGGGATCAGGGGAAACCATTTCAACGTGGAAGGAGAGGAAGGAATGTGGCCAGGGAGAACGCAAGGTGGTAGCATGGATCAGACCTTCTTTGGTGTCAGCCTGCACAGCAGAGGACTCACAAAACATACTTCTAGACCATGAGAACTCCACGGTGGCTGAGTGTAAAGGAAGACAGCATTGCTGTGACAGTTTAGCTAATTTTAATCCTAACTTACCACCCATTTGGTATCTTCACCTGCAAAAGACCTCGCAGGCAGGAAATGTTATTGGTTACTTGAACCTTTGTGGTAGCTTGCTTACCACTTTTCACAGCGCATGGAAACTCCAGCCCACATTGGGAGTCCTACTGTCGTGTCAAAATCAAAACCATGTATGTCTGACAAGGTATCCAAGTCATAATCCCTACGAGTGGTTGATACTCTCATTCTGCATTTCTCCTTTTCGAGGTAGGTTAACATCTGAGGACATAGGCCCAACCTTCTATTTCTTCAGTTCTTTTCAAAGTACTTAAAGCACTTATGTACATGAAAAGGACTCAGTACGTAACTGAATTGCATTATGTGATAAAAGGTACATGGAAAGCCTTGAAACATTAAAATGAAAACATTGCTTTGGTTTAAAATAGAAGATTTATTTTGTTTATTTATTTATATTTTTTTGTGGTACGCGGGCCTCTCACTGTTGTGGCCTCTCCCGTTGTGGAGCACAGGCTCTGGACGCGCGGGCTCAGCAGTTGTGGCTCACGGGCCCAGCCGCTCTGCGGCATGTGGGATCTTCCCAGACCGGGCACAAACCCGTGTCCCCTGCATCGGCAGGCGGACTCTCAACCACTGTGCCACCAGGGAAGCCCTAGAAGATTTATTTTAACATCAAATTTATGGACTCCAAGAATTTAATTTAATTTATGGACTCCAAGAATTATAGAACTGTTAAGGGCCCTTTGAGCACATCCCTGCCTTTTCCCTCTATCCCCCAAGACACACACATTACTCCTATTCTTCAAAAGCATAAGAAATCCACTCAAGTGAACTTATTTACAAAACAGAAACAGACTCACAGACATAGAAAATAAACTTACAGTTACCAAAGGGGATGGCAGTGGGGGCAGAGGGGTGGGTGGTGGAGATAAATTAGGAGTTTGGGATTAACAGATTCACACTACTATACATAAAATAAACAACACGCACCTACTGTACAGCACAGGAAACTATGTTCGGTATCTTGTAATAACCCATAATGGAAAAGAATCTGAAAAAGTACACATATATGTGTGTGTATATATATAGATATATCTCTGAATCACTTTGCTGTACACCTGAATCTAACACAACACTGTAAATTAACTATACTTCAAGAAAAAAAAGTGTTATAAAAAAAAGTAAATCAGAAAATCTCTTTAAAAAGTTTCCTTCCATAGGAGCCTTCACAGAAATGGGATACGGTGAGGACTGAGCTAATAATGGGAGTGTGCTTAGCTTTAACATGGATTGATTAGATTTAACAGTGTAGAGTGGCACAACCTTGTAAAAGTGATACTACAATTTGCATTTATTTCTAATGGGCCTCTGGCTAGACTCTGGGGTTGGCTGGGATCAGAGCCAGTTTGTTCTTAAGTTGAATTCATTCTGATGCTTGACAATCCTCCACCCCCTTGTCCATTGGAGCCCTACTTCTAAAGGTCAGTATACTGTCTACTTGACACCCAACTAACACCTAACACCTACCTAACACCATACACAAAAATAAACTCGGGGATTCCCTGGTGGCGCAGTGGTTGAGAGTCCGCCTGCCGAAGCAGGGGACACGGGTTCGTGCCCCGGTCCAGGAAGATCCCACATGCCGCGGAGCGGCTGGGCCTGTGAGCCATGGCCGCTGAGCCTGCGTGTCCGGAGCCTGTGCTCTGCAACGGGGGATGCCACAACAGTGAGAGGCCTGCTTACCACAAAAAACAAAAACAACTCAAAATGGATTAAAGACCTAAATCGAAGACCAGACGCTATAAAACTCTTAGAGGAAAACATAGGAAAAACAGTCTTTGACATAAACCGCAGCAAGATCTTTTTTTACCCCCCTCCTAGAGTAATGAAAATAAAAGCAAAATAAACAAATGGGACCTAATTAAACTTAAAAGCTTTTGCACAGCAAAGGAAACCATAAAAAAGACAACCCTCAGAATGGGAGAAAATAATTGCAAAGGAAGCAACAAATGATTAATCTCCAAAACATACTAACAGCTCATGGAGCTCAGTATCAAAAAAACAAACAACCCAATCAAAAAATGGGCAGAAGACCTAAATAGACATCTCTCCAAGGAGGACATACAGATGGCCAAGGGGCACATGAAAGGATGCTCAACATCACTAATTATTAGAGGAATGCATATCAAAACTATAGTGAGGTATCACCTCACACCAGTCAGAATGGCCATCATCAAAAATCTACAAACAACAAATGCTGGAGAGGGTGTGGAGAAAAGGGAACCGTCTTACACTATTGGTGGGAATGTAAACTGATACAGCCACTATGGAGAACAGTATGGAGGTTCCTTAAAAAACTAAAAATACAACTACCATATGACACAGCAATGCCCCTACTGGGCATATACCCTGAGAAAACCATAACTCAGAAAGACACATGTACCCCAATGTTCACTGCAGCACTATTTACAATAGCCAAGACATGGAAATAACCTAAATGTCCACAGACAGATGAATGGATAGAGAAGATGTGGCACATACATACAATGGAATATTAGCCATAAAAAGGAACGAAATTGGGTCATTTGTAGAGATGTGGATGGACCTAGAGTCTGTCATACAGAGTGAACTAAGCCAGAAAGAGAAAAACAAATATCGTATATTAACATGTATATGTGGAATCTAGAAAAATGGTACAGATGAACCTATCTGCAGGGCAGGAATAGAGATGCAGATGTAGAGAATGGACATGTGGACACAGGGTGGGAAGGTGAGGGTGGGCCGAATTGGGAGATTAGGATTGACATATATACACTACCATGCATAAAATAGATAGCTAGTGGGAACATGCTATAAAGCACAGGAAGCTCAGCTCGGTGCTCTGTGATGACCTGGATGGGTGGGACGCGGTGTGTGGGGGAGGGGGCAAGAGGGAGGGGATATAGGTATGCATGTGGTCGATTCACTTCATTGTACAGCAGAAACTAACACAACATTGTAAAGCAATTATACTCCAATTAAAAAAAGAAAAAAGAAGCTCTAAAGGAAAAAACAGGCATGCTTTTACATAAGTTACTGTCCTTGGTAGATTAAGAAGGTTAAAGGAAAATGGATATAACTTTTCTTGAATAAATTAGGCTTATTAGATTTTGATATTAAAAAAAAAAAGAGTAGCCTCTGAGGGAAGATTGTCAATATTCTGAGTGGCAAGAAAAGCCACAAAAGTCATTTTGTCTTTGCACCTTAGACGTTGAAATCTTCCTGTGGAACATAGCCACATCTAGAGAAATATGAGCTTTTTCTTCTATTAAAATTATTTCCAATGTCTATCAAAATAATTTCTTCTACAGAATGTTTCTGACCCATAGTAGCCTGTAAAGCATGTATTTGGAATAATATTTGGAAAAGTAAATAGGTTTTTCAAAACAAAAAAAAAAGTTTCCACAAACCAGTCAAGTAAATTGAAAACAATAAACCAAAAAAAAAAAAAAAAGAAAAAGAAAAAGAAATCCACTCAAATGAACTTATTTACAAAACAGAAACAGACTCACAGACAGAAAATAAACTTATGGTTACCAAAGGGAATAGCAGTGGGAGCAGAGGGGTGGGTGGTGGAGATAAATTAGGAGTTTGGGATTAACAGATTCACACTACTATATATAATATAGATAAACAACACGGACCTACTGTATAGCACAAGGAACTATATTCAATATCTTATAACAACCTATAACAGAAAAGAATCTGAAAACGTACATATATATATATATCTGAATCACTTTGCTGTACACCTGAAACTA